AAGGGTACTATCCCCCAACTACTGTGTCACCGCCCAAAACTCATATTTTGAGGAAAATATCACAAAGTTTGGGATCAGATTTTGGGTAATCCCAAATCATGTTAAACATCACTTACAATCAATCAATCAAGCGTTTACTTTTGGGGGATGGGAATGACAGATAATCTAAACAAATCGTGTTTAGTGCCTTCAGCCCTTCACCTCACTTTAGGGTTTTGAAAGTTCACGTAAAAACCATATATAAATCACTTCATCCCTTCATCTTAATTTGAATAAATCGGGATCTTTTATTATCTGAGTTATAAGTAACTTCTATTTCAGATTCTATTTTAAAATAAAGGTGGGCTGAAGTTTTTCTTGAAGCGCAGGAGACAGTATCCGTAGGCAGGCTTCTTGAACTTTAGATTGGAAGTCCTGTAACTGCGGTTCGTTAGATGTGTTTGTTTGGACCTTGGAGCAGTTTATTTTTGGTTTCCGAGATGTTATGGCGATATTTCATTCATAGGGGTGGGATGCGTTCATGAGGAGTCTTAAGTCTGTTGTTTTGGAGTTTGGTTGCTCTGGTTTTGTTCTTTCTCTGGTGGCTTCTTCGGTGGCCTGTGTGCTTTTCTTTCTTGATTTTGTGGAGGTTTTGTGTTTAACTGTTTTGCTAATTGTTTTTATGTGTTTCTCAAGGCATGTGTTTGCCTTCTTTCGAAGCTGTGTAACAGCAACTTAGATATATTTCTGAGGTTCCCTGTTTCTCATGCAGTGTGTTTTTTCATGAGCTAGTTTTCTGGCTTCCTTTCCATTTCATGGTTCACTCTTTTTCCTCCAAATAGGTTTAGGGAGGTTTTTTAACGAGGTCCATGGGGTGGTGTACCTTGTATCTCTCTCAATACAAAGTACCCATCTTAAAAAAAAAATCTAATATAAAAAATTTAATTTTACATCTTTTTGAGAATGTTAGATCCTAACCCTATTAATTTTAATGTGGTATGTCATTCCGTTAACAACAACTAACAACAGTTAACAATGCAATGCTTATTTTATAACTAAATTCAAATTTTAATATCCATTTTATAAAAATTTTAAAAGTTGAATGTATAAAAAATTATTTCAAAATAATTTAATAACTATTTTAATGAAACACACAAATAGACTTAAATGTATGATTTATATCTTTAGAATAAAATCATTTTGCCGAGCAAAACAATAATTATTTTTGTATTTCATTTAATTTTCATATGTGATACTAAATTTACAAGATGGATATTAAATTTTGAATTTGGTTATATATTTGACATCGTGTTGTTAACTGTTGTTATTAATGGAATAGCATACCACATCAAAATTAATAGATGATATCTTATTTCACTCCTCAATTATAATTAATTTTTTAAATATTTTTATATAATAATTAAAAAATCAAATAAGATAGAGTTATATGAAATTTATAATTTATTTTTAAAATTATAATTTTAAGAAAATATGTTACAACTCAAAAGATTTAAGTATTTTGTTTATTTTATAAGTTGGTCTCTATTTTTTCCCTTGTATTTTCCGTTAGTTTTAAGTTAGTTTTCTATTAAATTCGAATCATATGTTCCTTAATTATTCTAGAATACATACTGAACTTTAAGTCTTCCTTTTGACCATATCTTTCTTCTTTACTGAATTTAATCTCTTAATTTTGAAAAAAAAATCAATAAAACACATTTAGTACGTGTTTACTTATTTTTCTACCGTTAAAAGTTACAAAATGATTATCTGGTTATGGGATACTGTTTTGTTAAGTCCAACAACTATTAAAAGTTACAAAATAGTCATATGACTATTCATATGTTTCAAACTAGTGTTTTTTCTGTTAAAAATTGACGGCAGTCTAAGCTGGACGTTAACTTGCTAACTGAGATATGATAAAATCTAATCCTAGTATCTCAGAATACTATCATATATCAGTTAGCATGTTAACGTCCAACTCAAACGACTGTAAATCGAGTGAGTTAATAAAATAACATTGCATAGTCATGAGGCCATATGTGCACTTTACCCATAGATTTCATGTATCACACCATTCATTTAACAACAATTCATGACAGTTAATGATACGGTACATATAGGTATGTAAACGAGTCGAGTCGAGTCGAGCTCGAGTATTACTGAGTTTGATTTGACTCGAAAACTTTGAAATGAAGCTCGACTTGATTTGAAAACTCTCGAGTCTAAAATTTTCAAGCTCGACTCAAATTTGAAATCATGAACTAGAGCTCATAAAAGGCTCAAAATGAAAAAAAAAATCTTAAACCTAACTCGATCGAAAGCCTCAAACTCAAACTTGAACATTAAATATATGAAAATCTTATACGCATTTTAAAAAAATCAACACATAAATGTTAATATTATTAATAATTTATTTTTTTAAAAATAAATTATTAATATATTATATTTTTGAGCTGTTCACGAGCTTTTTGAGTCGAGTATCAAGTAGCTCGTTTCGGCTCGTTAATAACTCGAGTCGAGCTCTAGCTCGATTTGAGTCTATTCGAGTCGAGTATTTATCGAGTTTGGACCGAATCAATCTCGAGTAGCTTACGATCTATCTCGTCTCTTTTACAATCCTAACATATTTTAATAATTTCTAAAAATAATGTATAAAAATATTATTTTATTTTTCAAAAAAATATTATTTTAAAATAACTGAGTGTCCATTTTCAAACTATGCACTAAGAAATTATAGTTGGGAGCAGTTCCTATGTTTACTCACTGTAAGTAATGATTCTGTCTATCAAAAGAAAACAGTTCTTTTGATGTTCAACTATATATATTTCAATTTTGTGAGTAAGTCTTAAAATTTAAAGATTATATTATTCAAAATGCACTTTATATATATAAAATAAAATGATATTTATATTAGTGAAGAATATATTATTTATGAATAGTAAAAAATGGAAATTTTCCTATTGAAAAGGCTGAAATGAAATATTTCTTTTGAATAAAAAGTATATAGAATTTACGAGAGTAAATGAGACGAGACAAATAACGAGTTATTCAAGATCGATTCGGTCAAAGTTTGATAAATATTCGATACTAATGGACTTGAGTCGAGTTCTTAACGAGCCGAAACGAGATACTTGATACTCGACTCGAAAAGCTCGTGAATAGCTCGAAAATATAATATATTAAGATTTTATTTTAAAAAAATAAATTATTAATAATATTAATATTTATGTGTTGATTTTTTTTTAAAATACAATATAATGTTTGAATGTATTTAAGGTTCATGTTCGAGTTTGAGGCCTCAAAAGATTTAAGTTTAAGATTTTTCGAGTTTTTACGAGCTTCAGTTCATGATTTCGAATTTGAGTCGAGCTTGAAAATTTTAGGCTTGTGAGTTTTTGAATCGAGTCGAACTCCATTTTATAATTTTTGAGTCAAGTCGAGCTTAGCAATACTCAAACACGACTTGAATCATTTACAACCCTGAGAGAATCTAAAAGCAAATAGGGATTAAACATCTTGTTCAATGACTTTTAACTAATATAATTACTCTAAAGAATCCTTGTTTGATTAATTACTTTTAGGATCATAATCATGTTTTTGAAGAATACTAGCAAAAAAATGAAATATATATTGGAATTAAAAAATATATTGACAAAGTGCCAAAGCCTTGTTGAATGTGTAGATAGGCCTACAAAGAAAGACCTCTCTATAAGGAATACTTCCTTAATAGGAAATATATAAAAAAATTAAGGGAAATCAGTTTGATAAATTTATTAAATTCTTCCTTAAACAACTCATTGCACTAAAAGAAAATAATCCAAAGCTTAGTTAAAACTAATGAGCAATACACTAATCGTTTAGACCAACTTGAAACGTTTAATGATCCTCGACTAACAATTTGACACTCAAAAGTTTATGAATGAAATTTGATTAATCAAAAGAAGATTGAATTGAAGTAAGCTGAGAATGCATTTGTTGAGTATAGATTGGTGGGGGGTTTTTTGAAGTGGAGAGAAATCTTGGGGCAATGGTACTCAAAAGTAAAGAAATCATGAGATATTCCAACACATTTATGAACATGGAAGCAGTGCCTCCACAGCAATAAACTACCAAACAAACCAAAAATGATGTCCCTTTTCATTCCTTTCTCCATAGAAAAATGGGGTTTATCTGAAAAACACTGAATCAGTTGTCTCTTTTCTTTTCCTCTGCATGTCTGGATTCTCAACTTGTTCTCTGCAAAAAACAAAACTGCTTTTGTTTGTTCTCAGATAAGGGTACTAGTAAAGGGAACAGCTTCTGGTTCTACCTTCTCTACCTTCTTGTTTTCTCATATATTCTTCCAAATGCATGTATCCTATATATATGCAACCAAATATGGGATTGAGAAAAAAATTATAAATCTAAGCATAATGTTAGCTTCAAGGAGAACGCATGCAAGTTGATGCTAATGAAGTGTTTCATCAGAAGCACTATTGGTCTTTTGACAGAAATTGGATTCTCTTTAGTCCACTGAAAAAGGGTATCATTGTTGAGGCTACTCTACTTGGTTTTGCACGGGTATTAGATTCCAGGGGATGTGTCTTTGAGCTTTTAAGTGTCATTTCATGTTTGAACATTCAGAAAACAGTGGTTTAATTAGTTTATAGTTAGTGGATAAAACGCGATGAAGAAAAAGTTGGTCTGCTTTTTTTTTTCTTGAAAATAATGGGGGAAAAAGGTGGATGATTATGGTGGTTTTTGTTTGCCATTTCAGTTTAAAGGATAAACTGTTTTGATGGGCTGAAGACCAAATTCCCATAAAAATGTGATTTTTTTTTTGGGGGAAGAACTTTCCTTGAAGTACATGAACTGTTTTTGTACATGGCTGAATCAAAGTAGCTATGCATATTAAACAAAGGTTACAAGAGAGGAACATAAAATCATGAGGGGGGGTTAATCTGGAATGGATCCATTTTAACTTTTACCTAAGATTATTACAAAAACAGTTTTTATTAACTTCCATTGAAAAGTTACCATTTAAGAGTATTATTATTCCATTCATTCCACTTAATTCATGCTGCCCCATTGCTTGTGTCCTGGGAACCATTTGGGGCATTTAGGGCTGAAGTAACTAGACACGGCCCTTGAGTTCAGAAGCTCGACAATGGGAGCAAATTTCACACATCTCGGAGTCTTGTACTGGTTAATTGATGCACCTAAGGTAATGGCATAATCCATCAGCTTGTCGAATGTCCCTGGTTCGACGATCTTGATCTCGAGGGGTCCGATTGATTTGTCACATACACGCCCTTGGCGGTATACGCTGTTAAGGGACTCTTCGATAGTCAAGCAACAGTCCTTGAAAACAGAGGGAGAAATTGTGGTGGTACCATTGAGACTGAGTTCCCAGTAGAGCACATAGTGGCCTGGAATTGTAGTGGTATCGGCATAACTGGTGTACTCGGCCAACGTTGCATCGAACGGAAGCAAATGGTTCACTGCATTCTTCACAGAATTTTGAAGTTCAATCTCATTGGTCTTGTCCGAATCGATGCACAAAACCACATTCTTCCTGCATATGAAATTGAACTGCGGTGCATTGTTCTTGAACCCTGCTACCCTGAGCACATCACCGACTCTGTAACGATAAAGGCCTGCAAAAGCGTTGGTTTCAACAGTCAGTCAGATGCAAACCAGTAAAAAATACACTAAAATTCTTACGACATTAACCGAGTGTAATCACCTGAATAAGTGGTGACAACAAGCTCATACTCTTGGCCAAGCTTAACATCAACAAGGTCAACCAGTTCTTGTTCTTTCTCATTGAGAGTTTTGGGCACAGAAATGGAATTAGTAACCCCATTGTTCATTTGAATCGGCAAGAACTCGAAATAGGCCATCGTGGGAATGAGAGTATAGGAAACTTCACTCGGCTTGCAAAGAGGGTTAAGATTGACACCGAAGTAGCATTCACTAGATGCATACATGGTGCAGACAAGAGGGAGGCCATTGCTATAGTAATCAAGAGTGGGAATATACTGTGACATGGTTCCAGTCACAATCACATCCACATACTTTGTGTTAGGCCATAACTTTGTTATGATACCCTGCCAAGAACTTTTGCTACACTCGGCCTCGATGAAATCGGCAAGTTTAGGATCAGGTTTCAGGATGTTCATAACAGCCTCCCTGACAGATTGGTCAGTGATTTGGGAATCAATGGTACCTGTCCTTATATCATTACAAAGGAGACGCCAATGTTTCTCAAGAAATTTGATGGCCCTTACGAAGCCAGAGGCGAAAACAGCACCCACCCTGAGGACTTCCTTGTGTTGGCAAAGTCCACAAAGCATTTGAGAGTACATGCTTTGGTAAGAATCGGGACAAAGAATGGTCTCATTTGGGCTGGTGTAGTTTGTGTAAGGGTCATATGGTCTATCTTTGAAATGGCTGCTTTTGTAGTAGCTAGTGAGCACAGGGCGTGCCACAAGGCCACCAGGTGTCTTGGCCTCAGATTTTATAAACAAAAAATACATCCCTTTGACCTTGTCTAGACCAGGGAAAAATTGGCTCATAACAGGCATCAATAGGCTGTAGAGCAATGACCTCCTCCCAAGCTCCTCCTCGATCGTCGGCATCAGCTTCCTCTCCCCACCTGAAGTCCCCGAGCTGCAACAGTTAACAAAACCAACACTGCCCATTTAGCCAAAACAGGCAAAAACACTGAAATCAACATGCATGAAACAAAAGTGTTGTTTCATTTTCATATACTAACCTTGTCAAGAACTCAGAAATAGGATTGGAACAAAGGATCGGAGACGTATCGCCATTGGCGATACGCTCAACATGAGGCTGGATATCCTCATAGGTGATGACAGGCATGATCTTCTTGAAACTCCCTCTATCAGTGTGACCATTGAGGCCATGTGTTTGCAGGTACTCAACATGAGCATTACGTTCAAGAATCTCTTCCAGGACTTTCCTTTGAACTTCATCAGCATTTGAAGTCACATCCTCAATGAACTGAAGGGTTTTCTTGTTCTTCAGTTCCAGGCTGTAATCTGTAGGTTTCTGCGTGATCTTTGGTGTTTCTGGCATGATTATGATCTTTGTTTTTTGCACTTTTGAATGGAAAAAAAGGGTTTAAGCCTTTTTTATGTGCAAAGATAGAGAGAAAGATAGTAGAAGAGATGTAGTAATTGGTTTTAGATTTGGTGCGAGGAGAAAAGTAGGAAGGAGTTGGGTATATATAGAGGGAGTTATGAAGTTGGCTAAGTTTTCATTTGTATATATTCATTTGGGTTAATATGCAAATCGGTCCTCCAACTATTATCTTCTTGAATGATTTGGTACTTTTCACAATATAATATTCCAACTTTACTACTACCTCCTTCCATGCTAGTTTAATGCCTCTAAGGGTTTGACCGCAATTCACTTTTTGACGAATAAAAATCTGATATGTGATAACTTTTATGCATCATCAATAATGCTCCATTAGCATTTTTAAAATATTGATAAAAAATATGGACTTTTTTTAAAATATTAAATAATTAATTTTTTTTTATTAATTTAGATATTATCCCATTCATTTGTAATAAATGAGTTTTTATCACCATGGGTGTCATAGAACAGATTCATGGAATGCCAACTAATGGGATTCACTTTTTCTCTTCAATTTGTGTTAAAACATAGTTTTATTAATGTTGGTCTCACAAATGTTCTTATATATATATATATATATATATATATATATATATAATGCATACTCTCCAAGTATAACTCAAATTGACACCTTCCAACCAAAATCATTAAATAACATACACTAGAATACAATGCATAAACATCAAAACACAATTAATTTAAGATTTTTATTATAATTCTTGTCGCTGGAAATAGAGAAAATTAAATTACGAGGATCACTTTAAAATTGGACATCTACAATACTCGATTTAAATTAATCGACTAATAAAATTTGTATTATTTATTGTTTTTTGAAAAGGAAAATTGAAGAAGAAAGTGGGCATCCATGCTTGGTGGGGAGGAGAATTTGAGTGGGGGAGTGCATAGTGCTTGGTGAGGGTTTTGGGGATGAGAGAATGTGTGAGCAATAGAGGGGAGTGTGGGAGACATAGAAAGTAATGCAAATCTTTGACCCTTAACATTACACCAAAATTAACCTTATATTTTATTTATTTATTTATTTTTTAACGTCTCGAGAAAAATTGTTGAGAAAATATTGTAAGTGAAAAAGGGAAAAAAGAAAAATGAACAATTCCGAATATGTTGTCTTCCATTATCCTATCTTTCCACCATTTCTACTTGTATAAAGCTTTTAATGTATAGACTATAATTAGTTGGATTTGTAGAGTAGATCTGTAAAGAAGCATATATATGGAAAGGAAAATATAAAAACCATAGACCAAATCTTAATGCTTTGAATAATATTAATTCAACCCGTGATTTGTTTCACTTTTATGTTATTAAAAAAATAATTGAATCTTTTTTTTATGCTTTAACTCACTCAATTTGCTATCAACTTTTTTTAAATAATAAAAAAAACCCTATAAAGCTCTCCGAAAAGTTAAGAAACCCTACTGTTGCCTTCTCGCTCGACGCGACTGGCCGTCCACCGGATGGATCGGTTCGAAGCGGCTCCACGGTCAGTTTGAAGCGTCCCGCTCAAGAGGTTTCTGGTGAGGATACATAGTTGGGAAAGAAGCCTAGGAATGAGGACAATCGGATCCCTATGGCAGATCGTGTACAGAATGGTATGGAGGTTGAAAGAGTTGACACGATAATGAATGGGGAACCGGGGGATTCTGTGGTTCAGATACCGAAATGGTCGGGGTTGAGGGCTGTAGAGCAGCCGACCGAGATGACTAATAAATTATCCTTTAGGGATAAGGTGGCCGGGCATACGAGAATGCGACAGGCAGATAATTACATAGAGGATCTTGATGTTGATTTGCATAAAAGGTGATGCCCAAATAGGAATGGAAGGATCTGTTCCGAATATTGTCTTTTCGGAAAGGGTCCATAGCTCTATCGATGAGAAGTTGTCGAAATTTGTCATCATCAGGTTATTGTGGAAGAGAATCGGATACAATGTTATCCTGAATCGTATCCAAATTTTATGAAGACCTGCTGGCGAAATTCAATTAGTCGACCTGGACAATGATTACTTTCTTGCTCGATTTGCTCTCGAGAATGATTACGTGAACGTTCTATCTGGTGGACCTTGGATGATGTATGGGAGTTATCTGACGATGTAACCGTCGTTGAGAAATTTCTCCACGACCGAATATCATCCTAGTACGATTTTGTCCTGGGTGAGATTACAAGGTTTGCCTTATAGGTATTACACGAAGAGTCCTTTTAGGGCTATTGCAGGTGCTCTAGGTAAGATTGTCAAAATAGATTATAATACGACTGAAGGGAAGCGAGGACGTTTTGCCAGACTCGCTAATAAGCTATTAATTTCAGAGATAAGGATTGATGAAATGTATCAATCAGTGGAATATGAAGGCCTACCGCCTACCTACCATTTGCTTCAAGTGCGGTATGTACGACCACGCAAAAGTAAAGGAGGCTGAAGGATCCTCGACTCCAAATGAACCATAAGGTTCATGGATGCAGGTGATGAATAGAAGGAGGAATGTTAATTCTGGAAAGAAAAGCGCTATTGAGGGTGGTATGGATAGAAGAAATGCTAGTGGAGGGGGTTCTTGCTTTGAAACATTGACTAGTTTAGAGGAAGAAAAGCTGGAGGGGCAAGGTGATTTTCAAGCATTAAGCAGCGCCGGTGAAAGTCCGGGGCGTGACTAGACGATCGGGGGTGATTGTTGAACAACGTCCTATGGAGCACGCGAGGGGTTCGAAGGGCAAAGAGGTGCATGTTCCTGCTGTAACAGTGCCTGATAAAAATAATGGTGGTTTGGATAATCCGAAAACTACTCAGAACAAAATTAAGTCTATGGCTTATCCTAAGCCTACAAGTGTGGAAGGTATCAGGGGGCTAATATGGAATGGTGGTTGTGGAGACGAATGTTAACTCGGTACAGGTTAGTACGAGCAAGAGAGGAGGAACCCACACGGTTGTGACAATTGAGGAAGACAGCCATCGAAATATCCTCCAGGATACAAATGGAATGAACATGATTGGGAAAGGAGCCAAGAATACGTCTCGAAATGCTACCGTTTTAAAAGGAGCGGTGAAGAAATGGAATAAAATTGGAGGGGATGATGGCCTTAAAATAGCTAAGCCGAGACTCTCCGAATGGGTTAACTCCCTTTCCACCGATCTTACGAAAGCAAGCACGAGTGCAAGTTTGAGTGAAAAACCACAGCAGCTGGCTGGTACTTATCAAGTACAGTGGTGAACGAATTCCTCGTTTGAGCAGGATGAGGGACCTCCTTGTAAGGCCTAAGGTTATATTCTCTCTATTCCTTTATGTATGTTATGGTTAGAATCCTATTTTGGAATACACAAGGTGTTTTAGGCCTTGTTTTTAATTGCCATTTCAAGATGGTTTTGAAGAACCAGAGACCAGATATTGTTGCCGTGATAGAATTAAAGGTGAGCGGTGAACAAGCTAAGAAGAATATCCGAAGTACAGGGTTTGATTCTTCTTTTAGAGTCGAGACGAGGGGTTTCTCTGGTGGTATATGGGTCTTGTGGAAGAATCATATTACCTTAGATATCCTGGTAATTTCCAACCAGTTTATCCATGGAATTTGTTTCGATAAAATTTGTTGGGAAAATCGTGTTATTTCTCACACGAACGTAGTTTTAAAATTGACCTAAAATGTCAAGATCAAAACCACCAAAGATTGCACAGCGAATAAACCTAAACTATTGAATATTGAAACACAATGGAAAAAACCGGATAAAAACAATAAAGAAGAGAACACACCAAATTTACGAGGTTCGACGAGAATATCGTCTACTCCTCGAGCACCATACCGGATGATAACTTCACTATCATCAAATATTATAACAAATGGAATTCTTTAGAATTCTCAAAGTGGGAGAATGAAGAATACAAGAGAAAGAGAACTTATTTTTGGGATGATTTCTAATGAAATACTTAGGCCTATTTATAGTTGAGTTTTAAGGACTAAACTTATAAATAACCTAATATTTTAGGGATCAAACATGAAAAATAAGTTGGCCACCTACCAAAGAATTTTTCAATGTGTACAAGTTAGCCACCAAATATGAAATTCTCATATTCAAAGTTTGGCCACCAACCAAGATGAAATTTCCAATAAGTTGGCCACCAACCAAGATGAAATTTCCAACTTGCCAACTTAATTTCAAGCTAAGTCTAACAAATCTCCACCTTGGCTTGAAATTACCAAGCCTACTCAACTTCTTCAACTCCCCAAATTTGTAATGCCTCTAATTACGCTCACAAGCGCCACACACCCGAAGGTGTTCATACCTTCAAGATGTTAATCAAGTTCAAACAATGATTGAACTTGATTACTATTACCACCTTGGTCATCATATCTGCAGGATTTTCTGATGTCACAATTTTCTGAAGTAGAATCTTTCCTTCTTCAAAGATCTCCCGCACAAAGTGATACCTCACGTCGATATGCTTAGTCCTTGAATGATAGACTTGATTTTTCGCTAAGTGAATAGCGCTCTGACTGTCACAATAGAGACTAATGTGACTTTGAACAACTCCCAAGTCTTCCATCAACCCGTTAAGCCAAATTGCTTCCTTTACAACCTCTGAAACTGCCATGTATTCTGCCTCTGTAGTAGACAAGGCCACCGTAGATTGCAATGTAGACTTCCAACTTACTGGGGCTTTAGCAAGAGTAAACAAATACCTAGTAGTTGATCGACGCTTATCAAATCACCAGCATAATCGGAATCAGCATATCCAACCACACATTGACCAAGTGCTTCATCCTGTTCGAAAACTAAACCAGCATCCACGGTTTGTTGGAGATACCGTAGAATCCATTTCACAGCTTGCCAATGTCCTTCTCCAGGATCACGCATGTACCTGCTCACAACTCCAACTGCTTGTGAAATGTCAGGACACGTACACACCATTGCATACATCAAGCTCCCAACTGCATTAGCATATGGAACTTTTGCTATATACTCTCGTTCTTCGTTAGTTTTAGGAGATAATTGAGAACTAAGTTTCAAATGAGAAGCCAGTGGGATACTTACATG